GAAGATGATCTAAAACATAGAAAAGGTAACGAATGTACAAAAAATCTGGTGAAATATGCAATTCAAAGAGAGAAGTGTTTTTTTTTTTTGTCAACAGCTTAAATAAAATAGATGCTCAAGAGAGAAGTGTTTTGTAAGATTGTTTTAGTTAATTCACAACTTTAATTGTAATGTAGTAAAGTTTTACATTAAAAGATAAATTCGAGATTTCGAGGTATTATCAATGAAAAGCGAAACACTAAAGAAAACAAAATCGTAACTATCAAAAAAAGACTGGACCAGAAAGCAGGCCCAGAAGGCTATAAGGACGTTATATGTTTCGACCCGTTTTTCCTTGGGCATCAGCCCAGAGCATTCATTTCACTGTTCGTTTTAGAAAATAGAAATGTTTGGAACCTAGTTAACAAAAAAACTTGTGAATTTTCAAACTATCAAGTTATCCTTACCGGTAATGGATTTAACCCCCACGTCGGTCTATATACAAGAGTTGACAATTACAACAACAACTTCATTAGTAAACGAAAAACACATAATGAAAACCAAAACAGAAAACTTCCTTATAAACAACGATACCAAATTGCGATTATGGAAAGTGATTCCCAAAAAGGAAAGTGCTTTTTGTCAGACATAGAGAATCTTGCACCGATGAATGTTCATATATATTAATTAATTAACTATGTAATTTGGTTAATTATTTTGTTAAATGATAGAGCCTCCATGCATTTTTTAGTTATGTCGTATTAAGTCGCATCTAATTTTATATGTTAGTATGTCATAAATTCATAAATATTGTCCTTTAGGCGACAATTGCGATAAAACTCTACTAAAAATATATATAGACTAATAGACGCACACATAATCTTAGCTGTTGTTTGAAGTGCAGCCCACGGTTTGTAATCGTGGGCATGTGAATATTTTTATCATCTTGCTCAACAATATTCTTCTGCCGCAACAACTATTTAATTTGCTTTCTTTTATATGACAGTATTCAAATTATATATATATCTAAAAGTATTCAAATTATGAACACTTTTTAGCTTACGAAACATAATATTATACTATTCTATATCATATTTGATCCGTTGCAGAACTGAAGTAGCAAAGCATTGAAATTATTTGCCCTCTGCTGTAGTCATCATTTTAACTTAAGCATCTGGAAATCGTTGGAATAAAAAAAAAAGTTCAACAATATCTCTTTAATGTTATCAAATGTTTGAGCCATTGTTATACAAAATTTCACGTGAATGATAAGATTGGGATAGTCGAGCTATATTGATTGATAGACTATAAAATAAGTGGATAAATGCAAGAAAATGAATGTATGGCGCAACTAGTTGGGTTCTGCGGAGACATAAAAAGGTGAGAGTTCCAAGGCAATTGGGTTGAGATCTCAGAAACCACAACACAAAAAGCTTTGGTTCTTTTGCTGTCTTTGCTTCCTTCCTCGCCACCTCATATCTCCCATGCAATATTCCTATTTTTCTCTTCTTTTAATAAATGATAGTTTTGTAGAGGAAAAAATATACCTAGCTACACGAAGTATGTTACAATATATGGCCATACATCCGAAGTTTAAAAATGTATCCCTAATTACACAAACTATATGTATCGCATGCCCACATATACGAATTATATGTAGTCATGTCGCCAACATCACGAACATTTTTTTCCGGTACACTTTTCGCCGGAATCCGGCATTGACCAGTTTGACCGGCGTTGACCAACATAAATATTAAAAAAAAAAAATTAGTTTTTAAAAATTTAGAAAATTATGTTATTGAATCATTTATAATATTATATAATTAAAAAAATGTATATAATATTAAATATAAAAATATTTTGTATATATATTCAATGCATTGATTTTTATAATTAGTTAGTTTCAATAATTTCAAAACTAAACTAAAAATAAAACAAAAACCAATTAGGTAAAATAATTATAAATAGAAAATTTTAAATACTCTCTAATCTAAAGTTTTTTTAATAATATGTTGTTAATTTTTTTTGTATTATTAAAAGATTTTTTCGTAATAATTTTAGATACAAAAAGTAACAACATATTATACAAAA